TCAGCACAGAGTGTCAGATCTAAACCTGTGTTATCGTAGCCACCCCTCCCAGTCTAATTCTGGTGCTGGGATGCATGTTGACACAGCGTATCCCACCCACAGACACGTGGCAACATCCCTCATATGTAGGTTAGTTTTCTCCTTATAATAAACAGGAAAACAGCATCCAGTGACTAGCTTTCCTATCAGCATAACATGGGAATCCAGAATCATTCATTTTCAGCTAATTGCCTCTAAGCTGTCAGCTTCATCACCAACCAGGGAACAAACTCAGCAGACAGCTTATTTACCTTAAACAGTACCTCAAATACAGAAATTGTTCTGTATTTCATCTTCACAAGACTTCTGGCAGTTGGAATCACCTTTGCTATTTCAACACTGTTTAAGCCTGATTTCTCTTCAGCTCTCAAAAAACCAGGCAACTACTAAAACCACATCCTCCCCTCACCTTACTCTGCATAAACATATCAGGGGAGAGATCTCTTAGATCTGCTTTGAGTTCCCTGCACGCAGCCAAAGACCACTACCACCTTTTGAGCAGAGTCAAAGTTCCATGCAGACAAGGAAGTTTAATCTCCTCCAGACTAAGCCAGAACAGAGGCACACCACCACACTAAAGGATTTGCAGAAATCATGTCACTTAGGTAAAAATAAAATTGAAGAAGTTAAGGCACTGTATTTTGATGTCATAATGAGAAAGAGCACAAAAACGCACTACAACATGTTAGTGGCTAATAGCTTTGGTTTCGGTCACTTCCTATCAGTCTGCATCTGTCAGCAGATCTCTTTCTACATTCCCAATCCGTCCTGGAACTTCTTCCAGAGTCCCGGTCAGACTCAGGATAACTCAACCCACGGAAGAATGGCAAGCTTTATGCTCAGGTCCTTCCACACATGAGGCCAAGGAAATCTGTGCCGCACAGATTTCCTGCAATAAATAGAACTGTTTACATCCAGCAGCTCCTCTCCACATCACAGCCAATTACAGATCATCATGCAGTGCCACATGAAGATGGCAGCAGACTAGCAGGCAATTATTGGGTCTTTCATGCTGAAAATGTATTTGTCCCAGGGGAATAAGGCATCTGCATAATTAGCAATAGCAGTTACACAAAAAATAATTAGCTGAAAGCTTGAAGGAGGAAAAACTGTAATTTTTGCTTCAAGAGGCTGACTAATTACATGCCAAATAACAAAACAGAGATGCACTAAGAATCATCGAAAAACCAACATGGATTTTAACTTCATATTCTAGACAGAGAAAGGTCCTCTGGTAGCCTAGCAACAAGCAATACTTCAGCATACCAAAGCTTTCCCACCTTGATGAAACCCTGCGCATACCGTGCAAACCTCCCCCACCCCACTGCTCATTTGATTCCTGTATTATCAGACAGTGAAAACAAGATCTGGCAAAAAATAAAAATAAAATTCAAGATAAACTCAAAGCAGCACTAATGGTTCATGGTATAGAAAGGTAAATAAATGTCTGAAAATAATCATGCATTACAAAACTCATTCTGATTAGAAATGATGCGCAATACTTACACGTGGGGTCAGGACGTGACCTGTTCTTTTAAGGACCTTTTCTAGTAAAGGTGAATTAATTTTTGTTCACCTGGGAATTTGTCTCTCAGGAAGCATGAGTTAAGAGAGATTTTTAACCAGCAGCACCAGCACTCATCCCACCCATCACTGGGAGCAGCCCAGAAAGCTTATCACAAGCAAATCTCAGAGCTAGAAGATGGTTTTAATTGTAATTCTCCTCTGACAACTTATTATGACATGTTTCATCACTTCAGAAACAATTCTTGCCATCCCAACCTGCACAGCTCTGCAAGAAGTCAGGTCTGGCAACCACCAGTCACCACTGTCTTTATTCCATCTTCCCTACCCAAGAAGTACAGATTTCGTGTACTCATACATAAGATCACAAAATTAGACTGACACTTTGCTAGTAATATGGGAAGTCCAGACAACTTCAGCTAGTTTTGCCACTTCGGAGGCATGCCTCAACCCTGACCACATAAAGCCCTTACCCTAAGAGGGGAATCTGAGAAGAAATGTGTTAGTTTTCAGACAGGTCTGTTCCATGGCCTGATCCCTGCCAGCAGCACCAGCCCCTGCCCCACCTAAGTAACTTGTGGGATCCAAAGGCAGAAAATCCAGAGCAAGCAGATACATCTTCAGCACAGTACAGCATTGCAGACAGGTGCTTACAGAACTGAAATCTGCACAAACATTTGCCCATCTGCCTTCCCAAACCTCTGGGAGACATGCAGCTTGTGGAGAGCTAGAAATTGCACAATCCAGCTACAGAGAGGCACTTACATGAGCATTTCAGACATAACACCAGCTTACCATAATGCCAGAACTCATCCAATCCGCACTATAATATCAACTACCACATACTGGTAGTGTGCTCACACAGCTGCTATGGGCAAGGCCTGGTAGGGTTACAAACAAAAAGGAGTGGTAGCAATGGCATCAGATAGGCATCCATAATCAGTACTGTACTCTGCCAGATACAAAGGATTAACTAGACAAAGTTGTTTCTTGACAAAGGCTAATCTTTTGGTTGTGCAATATTTATTATTTTCCCTAATGACTGACAGATACTGAAAATGTCACCTTTGTTCAAAAGCAGGAGGCGTGAGGGATGTATGAAACCCTACAAACTTAGCTTGCCTTTAAGTCATAACAAACTTACTGAACCATTGATGAAGGTAAGCCTTGCCCACCAGCTGACACAATCTCAACAAGATAAACTGCAAGTCGGACAGAGTTGTTGACACGTTAGACATGAGAGCAAGCATGCCATGCTTGTGCTGCTCTTGGAAGACAAGGAAGAAGCAAGGACCTTGCCTACAGGACTATGGAAAACAGAACTCTACGTCAAATGCATATTAAAAATATGTATTAAAAACTAATGCTCTCATTATTAATATCACAAATGAGAACTACTTTAATAACTCATGCAACTACAAGTTTTTTTTCACTCAGACCAAAAAAAAAAATAATCCTGTTAGACCAAAGGGAGATCCTTCCATACTATGTCATGCTCTGACCCTATAAGCACCCCACACTCCTCTACTTATTTCCTGGAGAGATGGCACTCTAAGAATCAGCTGTCTATAAGGGATCATCCCTATCAACCCACCTTGCTTCTTTTGACATCTTCAGTAGTGCCAGCAACTACAAATCACACCACAACATGTGCTGGGATGGTCAGCAGGTTGGAGACCAGAACCACCTCTAAAGCCAATGGTTAGCAAGCAATGGCTCTGATACCACTCAGGATCGTGCATATCTGCACTATAACTGCATAATAACTAATAACTGCCCAGCTAATACTCGCACTGCAAATCTCAATGAACTTCAGTCTCTCACTTGAAGTTCAGTTTTTACACACATCTCATCTATCTCATATTAACGTTGCTCTTATCAGTTGTGACACACACTATTTTCAACAAAGAACACCTTCATTTGGGTTAGAAAAGCCCATGTAAACTTTATTTAGCTAATGCCAAGATCAACTCCTAAATCCTTTCTCTCCTCTGAGAGAATAAACCCAACAAAAATCCCACCCTCAGTCATCATCCCAGCACATTTGTTTAAAATGATACCACAGCAACACCTCTCACAAGACACAGTCTATCTCCTCCAGCTCCACAGAACAGCAATCTACAATGCATCAAAGTGACTTTTTGTGTTCTGAAAATCCAGTCTATTCCACAGAGTAAATGAAGTTTGCAGAAATTCTACCTTAGCCTACCCAAGTGGAAAGCAAAGAATTTGGATCAAGTGTATGCTTGTTTCAGTTTAAGCTAGGATCTCAGAAGAACATCTACATGTTGTACCTATTAAGATGCTTGTTAACGATTAAATATTTGCATCCTCTTTTTACAAGGGCATTTGCTTCTCAACTGTACTCATAAACAGATGAGCATACCATAAACCACAAGCATCATCTACCTACACAGACTACTTTCCTACTTTACACAAAATCACAGAAGTGTTTTATCCCATTCCATCACAAAGGAACCTGCAATAGGCTTTCATCATTCCCAGATGCAGAAGGTAACATCACACATTTTGGAATAACTCAAAATATTACTTAATTATCAAATAAATCCATTTTATTATTTCTTGCAGAAATCAAGTCTGCTGTACTTTAAAAATGAGTATGGCAAGAAGAAGGGCACCTTGGAAGTGGAAACACATTTTCCCCCCCAAAAGAGCAGAGATCTCTACTCTCTTGGCTTCTAAGAGCTGTGGAAAAGAATGGAGACATCATCTTTTCTACTCTCAGCTTTGCAGAAGGCACAAATCCAAGAGGCACCTGCAGCACCGAACTCAGGTTTTTCATCTCTGCTCTTGGCAGAATGATGAATTCCCTCCTTTGAACCAGAAATTCACTCAAAAACATTCCTAAAAGTAAGCAGTACATGAAAAGCAGCAACAAGCTCTTGTTTAAAAGCAAGTAAAACCCAAGTCTCAGACAAGAAAACAGAATAAACCTCTGTTGAGAGCTTTGACCTATTACCAGTCATACACATACAAAATAAATGAACTTAAAAAGTGCAAAATACAATTCTCAAGCAACATTAACGCAGTAGTGTTTGATGTTCATCCGCACACCCTGTGCTTTGTAGAACATTAAAACTGAAAAGGCTGCCTCCGTTATTTTTTACTTTATTGACAATTTAAAGTAACATGCACAAAGACTAGAAAACAGAAGTTCCATTTCCCTAATGACAGTCAAGGAAAAGGAAGACAGTCAGCAACACCTCATGATCTCAGAATTCTTCTTGGTGCTGCTAGGAATGCAGCACTGACCAACTAAACATCAATTTTGTTTTCTGCAGAAGTGATGCGGACATTTGTGAATTATCATTCAGACTTGTTTCTCTTAGCAGAACATTGGCTTTGCATCCATTTGAATGTCTCACTGATTGAAAACTACTGAAGATACCAAAAAGAATCCAGGTACTTCTACTCACCACTTGAGCTCTGGATCATGTTTCCAGATTTTTGGACCTCGTCAAATTTCGTGAAAATTACATTCAATCTGTTTGGAAGTTAAAGAAAGAAATCCACAATCAACAGTTGAATTTAATCTTTAGGAACCTCCTACTTTAAGATGTTGCAAGACAAATTTTGTTTCAACTCAGGTCATTGAGAACACTGTCAGAAACATCAAGGGGGAGGGGAGTTACTGCAAAATTAAAAAAAAAAAATCACAACATGCAATGACTGATAAAAAACAGAAGAGGGATACTGCAGAGATGAAAGAAATACGACTGGAAATACAACACTGAAGATGTGGCAGATCTCATTGTAAAAATACCTTTCCAGTTCATGATTACTTTGCCTATTTTTAACAATTTGCAGAAAAAAAATAAGAAGAAATGCAAACTTTGCACAACACTTGTTTGGCCGTGACATTTCTTTCCTAAGCATCTCACAGGCCCAGCGGAGCATGAGATCTTTACAGCATCTCATTATTCTTTCCTAGAGATCATACTCTGAGGCCACACTACAGCAGATGTTTCCACGGGAAAACAAGAGACAGCAGCATTCCTTCCATCTGTGTGCACCCCGCCTCTGAAACAACCTCTCCCAATGCTCCCCCTGTGTACAGTCTGTCATCTATGCCATCCTGGGTTTTAATTCTGTTCTGTCCTGAATGTCAGAGACTAAGCGCATGTAGGATGGAAGAAAAACTCTGACCCCAGGAAGAGGTTCAATTATGCAGCATGTGGAGCTTCGTAAAGGCTTTCGAAGCCTTTCATTTTGCTTTCGAAATAAAAAGAACCCCTAAACAGTTAAAATATAGGGACATTCTCAACATACCGGGATTGGGGTAATCCTTTTTTACTGAGATCAGCCCTTACACGTTCACCAACATGTCTGTAGATTTCCACAAGGCTGTTTATTGCTGCATCTCGAACCTGAAAGAGAGATGTGAGAAGTCAATCATCCGCGCAGTCTAAAGAAATAAATCCCTGCCCTACCTTGGAGAAAGAAATTTGCATATTTCTCAGCAACAACAGTTGCCACTATGTGCACAACCACAGCATCCACAAGAGCTTCCATTCTTTCATTTCAGATAGCAGCAGGATCAGTAGGTCTAACTTTACCAAACTTCCACACTGATGATAAATGTGTATCAGAAGGGTAATCAGTCACCCAAGTCACCACGTGGGCAAATGACTCAGGCTCAGTACTCAGCTGGCCTGCTACAAACAAAGCAATTTCCCAATCAAAACTGCACGAAGTATCCCTGCAGTAAAGCTCATTCTGATCCAGATGACATTACCCAGCACAAGAAAAACAATACATAGAAATACATGCAACAGAAGAATGAAGGCACAACAACCCTTGTAGTCTTGCTGTACTCCTGGTCCTTAGTCACATACTTCCACTGAAGTCCAGACAACAGGCAAAGAAGCAAAAAAAAAAAAAAAAAACCCAACTACATAGACAAGAACTAAAAACTCCCAACTCTCTGGCCAGTCATCAAACTCACTGTAACACAACAGAAAGGCAGTATCACTAATGGCTAATTGCTTACTTTTGAGTGTCCCAGGCTTTAACTGCAACCCTAAGTATCTCACAGGAGCAAAGGCTGTATGAGCAAATGTAGTTTTACATAAGTTTCCAAGCTGACTTGCAAAACTGACTGGGAAATCCCAGTGCAGTGACACATTTACATACCAACACTCCCTTCCTCTGGGAGGCAGACAGGTAAGCAATCTGCTCTGTCTGCTGGAATACCATCAAGCCACGCACTTCTGCTTGCTTCCAACATTAACCTTCCCCTCCACACACCCTCACTCAACAAAGGGGGTTCCCAAAGCTAAGGCTGGTTGCTGACTACACTGAAACCACCAGTGCTGGAGCAGAGCTGCAAACGGAAACAAAGAAAGCATGGAAGCACAACAGCACTGGGCCTGAACGCATCAGGGCTAGATAGAAGGTATTTCTGTGGGTCCAAACTAAAATTAGCTTTATGTGGCAAGGAAGGACAGACATGCACACCCTACTTCCTAGGGAAGAATGACTAACACTCTTCTTTCACCCTGCTCTCCCCCTTTCTACATCATTTCCATCCAGAATGTTCTGAAATGCCACCTTCGTGTATTTCAGCCCTCATTTGCTAGTTTTGCCTTTCTGCCCCACAGTCCAGCACTGCAGCACAGGACACAGCCTTCCAGGTGCCAACAGGGCAGCTTTCAATACTGAGCATGGCAGGAGGAAGTGGGGAGGCCAGCACGTGCAGACTGTTTCTCCACAGAAATGGAGGCACACTGCAGCTGGTCAGAGGGAAGACACACTGCTCCTCAGCAGTGACTACACTGCGCATATCTGCATGAATCAGTCACCATGGGCCACACACCAGCCACAGCAGCCAAGGGCTGTGACTGCCCAACAAGCAGCCCTGCTGCCGCTCTGTCCATAGTGGCAACAGCCCCAAACACACCGGGCCACAGGCTGCCTAGCAGGGAAATCCTGGAAGGCTCGCAAGGCTGTGTGAAGCTGAAAGGGCAATAAGAAAACAGCTTCTGATACCCACAACAAAAGGGGAAAATGCCACACTTGATGGGGACCTTTGTTTCTCCATCATGTTTCACCAAGAGAGGGCAGCACTGACCCAGCAAATGGCCCAGACGTCCCACAGCTCAGAAGAAGGCACACTGCTGCTGACAGACTGGTGTTCAACCAGTTCAGGTATGAACTTTGCACAGATGAGGTGGAACAGGTCCCCAAGAGATGAGTCATTAAATCAGCCTCATTTCCCACTCCGTTCTGGAAGCTGAGATTGGGCTGTGCCAGGCACATGAAAGGCAGCAGTGAGGGAACACATCTCAGTCCCCTCACCTGCTTTCTGGTTTCTGCAACAAGCTCGCTGATTCCAGGACCACAATGCCTCTGTGCAGCAGCAACTCAGCATGCTGAACCCAACATCTCCACAGAGTAACAGCTTGCTCAGCCACAGCTCAGGAACAGGGAGCACCCTGAATCTTACACTTCCTTAGAAGCCTTCACAGAGGAACCAGCTTATCCTCCCTGTGTTGGCAAAAACGGGAGAAGCTGCTTCTCACTCGGCCCTCCCCTTTAGCAAGGGGAGGCTTCAGAGCCACTACAAACCCATTCCACAGTTGTCACCTCACGCTTCCCTCCAGCTACATTCCCACTCTAAACTTGGATCATGAACACCACCACCCGAATTGGATGGAGATCTGAAATACTCAGAACCTGCAGGTGCCTGCACTACCTCACATTATCTGAACTCTGCTTCCTTATCCCCTTCTCTCACTAGCCTCACACATTTCCAATTTCAGATTAGGTTACAAGCTCTCTTTGGCAAGAGAGCTCTCTCCTATGTAACAAAACTGGGACAACCCCAATTTAGGATGTTAAAATTGTAACAAAGCTAGCAGACAAGATACAGACAATTGCATCTTCCAAAGCAGGATAGAAAGCACATAGAAGCAACCAGATACTTCTTACAGTATGTACTGCTGATGTAAGTTTCCTATACAACTTATCTTCTCTCTGCCCCTTGTTCACAATCTCCCCATACAAGCGCTGGCAGTGCACGTGGCCAGGCTGTCAGTCTGGTCCCATTTGCCCTCCCTGCCCAAACTGGTTCTTATCTGAAGGTACACAGATGCTTCACTGAGCCTGAAGGGATGCCTGCAGCTTCCCATGCACTCAGCTGTAAGGTACAGGAGTAATTCTCTTCCTAGACAGATTTCCTGTTCTGTTCAATATCGTCTGCAGATTGATGCTGTTCCATTGAATTTCTGATTCTACTGTAGGCATATTATAACTCTGACTCACACAAAATCAACCAAGAGCTTTTCATAAACATCATTCACCAACAGCAGCGCATTTTTCAGCTAATTTATCAGCTGGAATACAGAGCCCCACCTACCAACAATGGCACTCAACACTACTTTCAGAAGCAACTCACAGCAAAAGCTTACCTGGCTGTTTGGATCTCCAAGTAAGTTACATATATGCGGCACTATCTTACTCAGTGTTAAACTCTGAGCTCCAGATCTGGGAATAAAGAACAAAAAGGGGATCCGTGTGAACCACAGAGCAAGTCTGCAAGCGTAACTTAGAGTTGCAGGAGGTTCTGACTTACGCATTGAGTGTTGCAATAAGGCAGAGACAGATCCCTTCTCTTGTCCGGAAATTCTTGTGTTTGAATCCTCCTAACATCCTATCCCACACGTACTGTGGGAGACAGAAAACAAAGTGAGACAAAACAGGAGGCCAGGGAAGAGAGATTCATTCTTTCATACACTGTAACATTTTTGCATGACAAACTTTACGTCCATTCAAGCTGAATAAGACAACAAGCAGTAAAACATTTTTAAGTATGACTAGTTCTTCGCTAACTTGCCACAAACTAAAATAACAGCACTATACAAAGCAAGTGCCTTCCAGCACCCAGAACAATTACACTGACTGCTCCTTGATAAATCCAAGCAGCATTCACACACTCTCATGCAGACCCTGACCACCCAGCCATCCAATAGCATTCTCACATATGAATCATTCATAACAGAGCCATAGGGAGACGAGGGCATTAGAGACTGCCATAGGAGAATACTCTGATAGAAGAGAAAGTAAGGAGAAGTTAACATCTACACAGAGTACCAGGACACCAACAACAGAAATACTCAAACAGCTCCACTTCAAGCAGCTCCTCTCTCACACACCACAAAGGGCTGTGAAGCATACCTGAGGATTAGCAGCCTGTTCCATGATTTTCAGCAGCAAGGTCTGATCCTGCTCCCGCACAGAGTCCTTGGAATCCCCCAGCCTATCCAGCAAGCTGGGCAGCACTGCAAAAGGAGAACAGCAACATCCAAATCCCTCAGAAGGAAATCACCACAGCCACACAGCCCCTCTGCCCCTCAGAGGAGGGTGAGACATCAGAGCTGTGCCACAGGAGGGGAAAGGCAGCATCACTTACCTGTGCCGATCTGAGCCTTGAAGCGGTCCTGCAGGCGGGACACCAGTGCGGAGATGATGTCGATCCCCAGCAGCACCACCTGGAAACAGAGGACAGGTGTCAGCATCAGGTTGAGGCCAGGCAGGAAGCAGACCCTGTGGGCTCGCTTCACAGGGCTTCCAGGAGCACGGAGAGCACTGAGCTGTGGTGCAGAACCCACACTGTTGTACACAGAGTGCACGTGTGCTGTATGCGTAGAGACCATAGCACATGGGAACAAACACCTTAATTAATTGTTATTACACTTGTAATCAGGAAATGGCGTGCACTGACATCCGTCTCACCATTCGCCTGCAGAAATTAAACGCAGCTTTGAGGAGGTAACCAGGATCTGAGGAGGGCGGTTCAGGCAGTGCGACTTCGCCCAGGCGAGGCCGGGTGCTGCCGGCAGGGGGCGCTCTCCGCCACACTCCCGCCGCGCGGCCCGGCCCCCTATGCAAATCGCCCGGCGGACGGCGCGGAGCACGCTGGGTAGCGCCCCTCCGGCCCACAGAACGCCTTCAACCGAGGCCGCGAGGGGGGAATAGCGGGGCCCAGCGGGAATAAGTCCCGCGGACCGCGCCCCCGAGCTGATGGGGCGTGCGAGCAGCGCCGAGAGCGCGCGTCCCCTCACCCTGACCCGTGGCGCGGTCGGCTCGCGCTTAGGGCGGGCGCGCGACAGCCCCTACCAACCGTCCTTATCTTGGGGTTGCGTGGCCGCTCGATGAACGCGTGGTGAGAGCGGCACTGCTAACGCCTGAGCAACACACGTAGCGCCCGCGTGCGCGCGCGGCGCAATTTTTGGAACCTCGCACCGGCGCGTGAGCCCGGCGCGTTTCTCACACGGCTGCGCGCAGACCGACCTGCTGTGCGCGTGCACGGCGGCCGCCACGTTCACCTACGGGCTGCGGCCCTTTGTCCTGAGCTTCGCCCCGCCCCCACCGCTGCAGGTGATGTCAGTGTGGGGGCCGTAAGCAGGTCACGCAGCAGCCGGCTGTGAGGATCTTAACGACCCACAGAGCACGAAGTCAGCACTGTAGGAAATCAGCGAGAAAAACAACCTGTGCTACCGACTGGTGCTGCTTCTGGCTCCTCCCAACTCAGTAGTTAGGTGTCTTGCTCACAAACACTGCCACTGCACCATGCACAACTGCTGCCAGCTGAGCATTACACGGCCACGTCCTCAGCCAGGAAAATGCAGCTGGCCCTGCAAGCACTGAGATCACGCATGTGTCAGACGGAGCATGAGCTGCAGCTCTGCAGACAAGGCACCTCTCAGGTGCTGAAGGCAGCACGAAGCATCGCACATAACCACATCAGCTGTAGCAGCTCAAAGCTCCTAGCACAGAAGCGCTGACCCCAACTCCACCTGCAACGCTACAGAACAGAAAATGCTGAACACACTGTAGGTGGAAGCAAAGTGCTTGTGAGGGGTTAGCTAGCACCTGGAAGAACAAGGCAGCCCAGCACAGGAGCAGCCAGGGGTCTGCTGGGGGGCTGAGCAGGTGCTGCTGTGAGGCACCCATAGACCAGAATGAACAGGGCAGAGGCCATGCACCAGGTGTTAATGTCCATTGCTAGAACACACCAGTAAAGGTTTTTCTTGCCTTGTTTGGTAAAAACACTTATAAGTGTGCAATAGCATTTTCAGCAGCCATTACTTTTGCAAAGCTCTGGAAAGACCCTAAGAACTGAAGCTTCCCCAGCAATTCCCAGCCTTGCAAGCAGAATGCCTAAGCAGGACCTACACACACCTGTCTCCAGACACTGCCATAACCTGTAACAGCATCATCATCCCACAGCAGCCAACTCCAATTGAGAAAAGAAGCACTCAAGGTACTTCGCTAGCTGCAAAATGAAAAACTGCATAGACAATAACCCAAGAGACAGATGTAAGGTACAGAAAGGAGCCACAGCAAGCAAGAGGGAGCACGTCATCCACACAGGAAGGCATCATTTCAGCAGGAGCCTTACTCCTGTGAAGCTGCTTCTTTAGCACCCTGAAATCTTTCTGCCAGGCTGCACGGCAGGGTCACTGCCAGCAAGTGTGAGGTCTTCCCAGAGATGAGCTGAAACATCCATCAGTTGACCACAAAGGAAGCCCATAATCACACAAGGACAATGACCTAAATTCTGCTAAATTCCACCTTTGATTTATCACAAAATTCCTGTCTGGAATTCCCCCTTGGTTTCTGCCAGAGTCCTTTCTTCACTTTTTGTTGCTAAAGGCTGCTGGAGAATGCTGCTAGCATCATAGCATTCCAACTGCCAAGTGAAATAGCACTAAGTATTCTACTGGACAGTGGAGCAGGAGGAAAAGATGGGAGCAAGCAGGCTCCTGGCTCAGCATTCAACCAGCAGAGCTCCAACCGGTCTGTAACCCATGCAGGTCTGTTCCAGCTCTTAGTACAGTTCTCCATCAGCTCAGGCACAGTCGTTACTATTTTAACATCTGGCAAGTAGATATCTTTCAAGAATTTGAAATATCTGGTCTAGGAAACAGCAATCAAAATAAAAAAAAAAAAAAAGTATCCCCGCTCATTCAGAAAGTAATGTTAACTGATGACAATGCTTTGTACATGCTCCAGATCCAGACACTGCAGCCACAAACACATAGGAAATCAGCATTCTTCTGCTTCCTGAATACTTTCCCTCTCTTCAACGCCCACTGACCTCTGAATCTGTCCCTTTGCCTTTCTGTCACTGGTGAGATCTGGAGCAACAGCTGAAGCATTGCTCCACTGAGCTCCCACACGAGAATAGAACATCTGTTTTCCTCCCTCAGACTGCAAACAGACAGCCCTTCCATCGCTTCCAACAGATACTCAGCTATATGAGAGAATAGCAGAGCACACTGCATCTACATTAGGGCACACCTATGGGCCACTCTGGCACACAGCATGCAGTCAGAAACCCAGAACAGGTTTCTCAAGCAGGCTACCTGTCCCCAGATGTTGGGGGCTGAGCCAGCCACCCATAGGCAGGGGCAGACTTCTCACCAGGGCACCAAAGCAGCAGATGCCTGCAGAACAGCTCTGGAGCAGAATGTGCACCCAGACCTACACACACTGCAATTCAGTTATGTACTTATAGCTTCTCTAACAAGCTACCTAGAAAATCCAGTTACATACAGGTAATATTCCACACCATCCTATACACCTGATATTCCAAGTCTGAAGTGGGTGATGATCATCACCACAGGGCAGCTATTCAACAGAAGAGAGTCAGACTGCCTTACTGCAGCCCTGTTGGAAGCCTACCACTACAGCACTCTCCCCCACGGCAACAGCCTGACAATATCTGGGTCAGGGTCCAGCTGAGGCATGTGGATGGGCTGATGCTGGTGAAGACACACACCTTCCTGCAGCTGAAGCATTCCAACCTCCAGAGCTGCTAAACCAGTGAGATGTTTCACAGAAGTCACTGAATTCCTATAGAACAAAATGAAACAGAAGTGCCGCAAGAGAAGAGGAGGGAATGCTTCCTACCACACTGTTTGAAGGAACCAGCATTTTCCTAAGGGAAACCAACATGCCCAGATAAAACAGCTGATAGCACAAGAGGAAAATCAGTTGGAAAATTTTAGGGACAAGCCACATACATTTACTTCCAGAAATGCACATAAACATGTGAGGCAAATGCTTCCTGTCAGTGCTCCAAGGTCTATGACACACTGAAAAAAGCACTCTTAGGCTGGAGATGCACAAGCAAGTGTCCCTCAGTTCTTGTGGATTAATATAAGAAGGGAATTAATTCAGTGTTTAACTGAACCATTAGCTCTTGGATTAATTATTTCAAATGGAACTCTTAAGAAACAGAAATACCTCAGAGGAACAAAAGCTGCAAGCACTATACAAGAACCCACTCAGCTCAGCCTGTGCACAATGCTGGCACTCTGGGAAAGCACCGAAGCCTGCAAAGGAATCAACACAATTCCAAAGAGACAGCAGCTCTTCAAGCCTTGGAGCCAGAGCAGAGCTCAACAATAAAATCAGATTGTGGAGGTCTCCAGGGGCCAACCAGTTCAACATGCTCCCATCCCACTGCTCAAATTTAGATCAGGTTGTTCAAAATTATACTAAGCACTTTGTTTTGTTCAAGCCTTAATATCTAGGCCTTCAACTGCCAGTGATTTTAAACATTCATTAACACTTGAAATAGTTTTATGTATTCTAGTTAGAAGCAGCCCTGTCCATTTACGAATGGATTTAATGAGCTCCTCTGTCACCAATACCAAGGCTTTGCTGGCAGACTGTGAAACAGATGTGTTTTAATCCTTCTGTAGGCACAGAAGCAGATGAGACAACTCTTTGTAGTCCTCCAAGGCTCCAGCTACGTGACCCAATCCATAACAACCGTAGATTTCTAGTTTTCTGTAGGTACCAATGACCTAAGAGACGGACCAAGCAGCAAGAGCAGGGGTGTGTGTGTGTCTCAAGTTCACACCAGCCACAGCAGGCACTGGTACATTCCTCACAGTAATGAAAAGGCACAGCGCTTTTAGTTTATTTACCTAGGAGGTTTTGTTTAACTTGACAACATCTGATAAAAGTAAAAAGTTCAAAGCCGTACACAACGATAGGCTCCAATTACTGCTCCTCTCTATCAGTCTGTGTCAAAGCAGCCTGGCTCAGGAAGGAGGCTGCTGCCTGCCAGCTCCTTGCAGTATGCGGCACTGAGAATAGGAGGTTGAGTTTCACAGATAGCAACTATGTCAGGCTAGGAAACAGCACTTAGAGAAACAGGAGTTCAGATAAGGCGATGCTCAAAGATAGAGCCAACACACACAAAATGTTTCCCTGATAACATTGCTCCTGCTGCTTATTTAGAGATCCAGCAGCGGCTTTTTCTTCAGTAGAGGCTCTGTAAGAAAAGCCATGCACCTCAGTTGCTACGTCTTACACAAAAGGAATGACATCAACTGATTACGGAGGGAACCCTACTACAGTTGTGTCTCTGTGCCCTTCATCTATTTCCTCCTGTAATGCAGGGCTAAGAGCAACCTGGCAGGACGGGGGAAATATAAACTGATGTTTTCCAAGAGCTTTCATATCCTCATCT